AGGAAAACAATAAAGTAGAAATGAAGGGCATTGTAGTTTAAAATATCCATTTTAACATTTTACTTTCCACCAAATCCAATGTTGAAAAAAGTTCAAGAAGAATTTGTAGACATAATCAAGAGAATTTATCTATTCATTTCAGTTTCATAGAAACCTATGTGTTCCTACTTAAAAATCCTAGTCCCTAATCTATTTGGAATATCTTGCAGTAAACATTATTTAACCTGACTGTGGTTTCTATTTTTCTTACAAGTCTTTCACAGTAACAAGTTTTTTAAGATTTATAAGGTGATAAGCCTTTGTTGGTCAGGTCTATCTGCTTACAATACCTAGTCAGTCACAGAAGAGATCCATCAAAACTCTTTGGTTCACAAGTCCTCTTTTAAGTGCTCTTAGCTTTTATTCACTGAGTCCTAATGGACCTTTTTGGCTGGAAATCTTTGCAACCACAGTGATTAAACAGCTCAAATGGTGCGTCTTTCACTGGTTCCTTCTCTCCTTCTCCAGTGCACACATCCCAGTTCAGGCACTCTAACCTGCACAGAAGTATTGAAAAACCTGGTGCTAATTGTTCTCTTTGTCTTCACCCCCATACCTTACCTTTCTCTCCATGGCCAAGAGTAGGCCATATCTGTTTTCCTTCTCCCTCAAAGAAATCCAGTGCTTGCTGTATATCATCCAAATTTCTAATGTTCAAAGTACTTCATACTATTCTTCCCATCTTCCCTTCAGTAGACTCTCACTCTAATTCTCCATTCAAAATAAACACATTTACTTGATGGAACTTCAAATGTGTTCACTATGAGCTCAGCACTATCACATAGCTCAGCATCCCCTTGTTTGAAATGTCCCTTCCTTATCCACTTCTTTTCTACCTGCCTCTTTGCCTACTAAGATTCCATTGAGGCCAATGTTTAATGTTAGCTCTTTTACAAAGCCGTACTTGATTGATCCAACCTTCTGCTCCTTCAGCACTGAAAGTTGGCCTTCTCTTATTGCTTAGTCATATGCCCCCTCTCTTCTTAGATTCTAAGCTCCTAAACAGAAACCACACTTTTTTCTTCTCTACATACACTGAAGTATCGAGTACTATGCCTTTCACATAGTAGGGGCTCAATCAATATTGACTGATTGAATGAATCATCAATGAAAGTGCAAACAAGATATGTATTTAGCCAAAAGCAGAGATTCTGGTTTCATTCTGAAGAAAGCCAGCTCAGTGTCTAAAGTATCTTGGTTATGCTTCTCTAAAGAGGGTATGAATTTATACATGCAAGTTCCATAGTACCACATTTAAGTAGAGAAAAAAAAAAGTTTCTTTACACTAGAATTTTCTTCATTGAAGATAAAGATTATTGAAGACAACAGATTTTTCACTTATTTTGAGGATCTTTTCAAAGGAAGATGATACAGCCATCTGTTTCCTACCAACTCAGCTAAGGAAAATCTTTCTTGATATTGGCTGAATCATTGACATGTGTTTTAAAAATAAAACAATTTAAGAAATTGAAACTGCTAACTATTCATATTTTTATCACCATGTGTATACATTTTGAACAAATGTGATTACTCATTCACTTTAAAATTCAGTGGAACACTAGAAACTTAAATGTCAGAAAACATGACTAATGTCCATATTATAAAATAATAGTTAATCGTAGTTTTAATTTAATTTAACTTTATTTTAGCCTTGCCCAAGCATACTTTAAAGATGTGAAACAGCATGATGTAATTCGTGGTTTATAGGGGCAATCTTTTAATTTTGCCTTTCCCCTTTTCATTCAATCTTTCAACACATTAATTAAACGCCTATTAAATGGCTGGCACTATACTAGCACAGAAATACATGGTGAGCTCAAAAAGACAGTCTTTGTGTAATTTTTATTTATGTATAGTCCTTCTTTTTCCACAAAATTTAATAGTTTTAGAACTTTAGTTTTTCCCTAAAACTAGTTCTTCTGCTTGAGTTTGTAATTTTTTGTTCATAGGATCATTTTCTCCCTTGGTTTGAAGCGACAGCATCATCAAAACTCTCAATATTTGTCACACTAACTATTGCAATGTTCTTTCAATCATATGTACTAACTTCAGTAGTATTTTATATTTTAAGGCAGCGGTTTTCAACCGGTGTGCCACGGCACACTGGTGTGCCGCAAGAATTTTTAAAACATGCGATACCTGACTGTTTAGCCAGGGGCACTGACCTCTTTTCCCTTAGATTGCCAAAGAAAAATAAAAAAACGATAACAGCCAATAAATAATAACTGTTTGGTGTGAATTAATCAAAATTATACCATTTTTGAAAATCAGATAGGCAAAAAACATATTTTTTGGTGTGCCACAGAATTTTAGTAATTAGTTTATGTGTGCCGTGAGCTGAAAAATGTTGAAAATCGCTGCTTTAGGGCATTATACAAGTGTCTAGATTTATCTAAAGTTGATTACTTACCTAATTAAGGCCTAATGACTCAAAATGATCCTTGAGACATTATATAAATTGTCCTAACCTACTTTTTTCATCTTAATATGTCACACTTTTGGTAAGCATACCTCCAGTTTCACTTACACTCGATTACTTACCATCACAAATATATGCCACCCATTCCTCCCTGGAATCCATTCTCTCCCTACACAACCATCCCAATTGTGACAGCCTTCAAGGAATACCTTAAACAATATTTTTTTCTACAAAGTCTTAAAGAATTCTCACAGATGTTTGAGCTTTATCACCCCTAGGAACCTGTGTTTCATCACGTGTATTTTCTAAAGAACCTCCATAGTCAGCTTCACCTTGTCTGATAGTCCACTAGGCATACATTCCTAAGGCAGACTAGCTGCATTTGCCACTGCTCAGAGGGGGTGCTCAAAACATGTATTTGATCGTTGGCATTTCTGATTACATTTCATTTTCGGAATCCTANTTTGCCATTGCTCAGAGGGGGTGCTCAAAACATGTATTTGATCGTTGGCATTTCTGATTACATTTCATTTTCGGAATCCTACATATCTCCTGAGTATTATATTAAAATATGAGAAGAGCAATCAACATGGTTTCCACACCATCCAGAAGAGCAATAACAAAACGCTGGGACAGAGAAGGACTCTGGTCTGTGGTGCTTTGGTCCTGCATGCTCTGCAGTCTTTTCATCACATCTAAGGATTTCTTTTAACTGCTACTCTTCCATTTTTATGTTTTTCTCTCATTCTTCAATTTCTCTATCCCCCCATATTAGTCCTTGGCATTTTGCTTACCTCTGCCAGCACCACTCAAAGATTAAAATATTTCTGACTTCTGTGATGTACTATAAAGACTGGTAATTGCCTTTCTAGGGTATTGCTAATCTCTAAATGATTCTCCAAATCTATGGAGAAAAATAAAACTAAAAGTATTCAAACTGAATTTCAGCGTTTATTTTTAAAGCTCTCAAATGAATTGTCAGATGCCCTGGCTGGGTTGTTCAGTTGGTTGGAGCATCATCCTATACACCGAAAAGTTGTGGGTTCAGTTCCTGATCAGGGCACATACCTAGGCTGTGGGTTCGATCCTTGATCAAGGAGGCAACGGATCAATGTTTCTCTCTTTCTCCCCCTTCCTCTCTCTCTGCAATCAGTGAAAACATATCCTCAAGCATGGATTAAAATACAGATCCCTTAAATGAATTGTCAGTCAGCACAGGTGACATTAAAGGAAAGACACAAATAATTAAAGCTAATATACATGTGGTTGTGTGTATATATATTTACATCTACCTATCAACTATATACATTAAAAGAAAATAAAAATGCCTCAACAGTTTCCTTAAGCACATTTTCTTTCTACTTCAGTCCCATTCATGGAGTTTTACCATACTATCAAAAACAAATTAAAACTCAGGAGAAAAGTAGAGGTGGTGAATCTAAGTTGAAAATTATTATAACTACATTTTTTTCTGCTGAAAAGTTTTTCCAAAAGCTATACTAGTCATTCTTAGGTTTTATTTATACCTGTGACTTTCTGATAGAAGACAATGGTTTTCCCAATAAATGTCTCTCTTGAAATATGGAGTGAATTAAAAATAATAACCGCAGTAATACTGTAGATTATTTAGGGTGAATGGGTAGAAAACCACTTACCCCCAGTTGCCACAGTGATTTCACGTAGAAAATGGCCATAAAATGGAAAATCGAAAGACAGATTCACTCTCTGCAAGGAACAACACCAGAAAAGAAAATCAATAATGCACATAATAGTAAATGCAGTATGAAAAGCCTTCCCCTTAAAAAATTGATGCTTCTACTTTACACGCTATTATTGTAGTTGACTTTTAAAACCAGAATCCTAGAAGATAATAAAGGATTTTTTTTTCTGTTAATTACATGTTTGAAGTGTGTGAAAAGAATAAAGTTGGGCTGTTACAGTCTGTTGGTCTGTTCTTTGCTTACAAAGGGAATCTGAAGTTTCAAGTCTAAAGCAAGCTATTCCCTCTAACATCACCATTGCCTTTTATATGTCCACTGCAAATCAGTCATCATGATGAGCAATTTACTTGGGGGTCCTTTTTAGTTTGATTAGTCTTCTCCAAAAGAGTACTCCTTATCTCTCAAGTTATACTGAATAAAAATAAAAAGATTTGCCCAGCTGGGCGTGGTTCAGCAGTTGAGCATTGACCCCTAGGTCCTATCCAGGAGATCAAGGTTCGATTCTCGGTCAGGGCACATGCCCGGGTTGTGGGCTCAATCCCCAGTTGGGGGCATTCAGGAGGCAGCCGATCAGTGACTCTCTCATCGTTGATATTCCTCTCTCTCTCTCTCTCTCTCTCTCTCTCTCCTTCTTCCCTCCTCTCTTTGAAATCAATAAAGATATATTTTAAAAATAAATANTCTCTCTCTCTCTCTCTCTCTCTCTCTCTCTCTCCCCCCCTCCTTCTTCCCTCCTCTCTTTGAAATCAATAAAGATATATTTTAAAAATAAATAAAAATTTAAAAAAAACAACACGATTTTCTTTTACACAATTATGTTTTCAATTTGTTTTCTGTTCATCTCATAATGAACGACAGTTTTATGGAATAAGGTATCTTGCACGTATAGATCTAGACCTGCAGATATTTTTAACTTTTAGATGCAATGAACTCTCCAGGTTCAGCATATTATGTCCACTTTTAAAAACACAAAGAACAGAAAATGCTGGTTACTGAAGAGCTACTTTTCCTTTGTATAAAGAAAATTTGGGGGCCCTGGCTGGTTTGCTCAGTAGTTATAGTGTCGGCCCGTGGACTGAAGGGTCCTGGGTTCGACTCGGGCCAAGGGCATGTACCTCGTTTGCAGGCTTGGCCCTGGTCAGGGCACATGCAGGAGGCAACCAGTGGATGTGTTTCTTTTACATTGATGTTTCTCTCTCTTTCTCCCTTCCACTCTCTCTGAAAAGGCAATGGAAAAAATATCCTCAGGTGAGGATTAAAAAAAAAATTGGGGAAGACTTAGGAAGAAAGTTTATAAATTTTGACCCCCTGTTTTCTAAAGGGGCCTGAAACTTAAATTATATATGCATATATATGTAATTTATTATTATATGTTTTATTTATATATCACATTTTATGTATAATGAATACACATACTATATCATATACAATAAATATATAATAACAAAAACAAAATACAGCACAACAAAGCCAAAAAAAGAAACAAAAAACCCTAGATTTTTTTGTATGCTTAAAATAATATGAACCAGATGTATTATTAGGAAAAAAACACAAGAAAATAGTGAATTATAACAAAAATTATCCACTGAAATAAAAGAATCCAGAGGGAAATTAATTAGTTGGTTTAGAGCCTAACAGCATTACAAGCTATCTATAGCAAAAGGCTATTGTGTTAAAATTCAACAGTTTCTATATTATCTCTCCCAATGCAGAAATTAAAAAAAAAAATATAGAAGTATATCTAGATTGGATTTAGCGCCTTCCAATTTTGCAAATGACTGCTTTTTTATCCATCAGAGACTTCTAATAACTTATTTGGCATGAAATTAATCATTCAAAATTTACAGTGACTTTCAATTAGGTTTTCTTTCCTTTTTAATGAAAGTTGCATCTTCAGAAGGGGTTTATTCTCATTTTTATTTTTTGCTGACTAATGGGAATAATAAAATCCATTTTCACTACACTAACTGAAATGAGTGGCTACTAATAACTCTAAAATAAAAGCTTCAATAGCAAAATTATGTATCTCAAAGAAGATGTCAGAAATAATTTTATAAAGGCACTTGCTACAGTATATTGTTTTTCATCATTCTAATTTATTTCCATGTTGATGAGCAAATTGATAAAATGTGCAGCCTTTTGGCTTTCTCACTTCTACCCAGGAATTTGGTTTAAACATATAACCAGTAATAATCTCTTATCAATCACCACCAAGACTGAACCAGAGAAATACAACATGAGTTTCTCAACCATCACAAATACTTCAATAGTTTTAGAATAAGACTGACATATGCAAATGCATAAGTTAAAGACTTTTTAAAAAAGCAAATAAGTTCTCAAATAAAATTCAAAGAGCAACATCAATGACTAAAATGCCCCTCTCCCTCCCTCGTGTAAGCGATCAGTTTACCTTGGTCAGTTATAGCTTCCACATTCTTTAANTTTCAATAGTTTTAGAATAAGACTGACATATGCAAATGCATGTTAAAGACTTTTTAAAAAAGCAAATAAGTTCTCAAAGAAAATTCAAAGAGCAACATCAATGACTAAAATGCCCCTCTCCCTCCCTTGTGTAAGCGATCAGTTTACCTTGGTCAGTTATAGCTTCCACATTCTTTAAGCTTTGGCTTAACTTGGGTCACCTCAAATACCAACCCTGACATAAGGACTTAGGGGCAGATAGCTTTTTGGAAGGTGATCTTAGGAAGCATTTGCTAAAAAAAGTGGGAAACGTGAGATAAGAGAAACTAGTAATAGGTACATTATTCAGTGTGTTACCGCTGTAGCCAGGTCTCTCCTTGGAGACTCAGAAATAGCAGGGAAAACATGCCTTCGAATCACTTCATTGGAGGTCAGGATCGGGACATTATCCATCAATCACCTCCCATTCTCTACTGATTGAAGGTTGCTCCTGGGGGAGGTTAACTCCCCTCCTTCCCCAGACTACACTTGTTTGTACCCTCACCCACAAAAAAGAGATGTAGCACATGAGCTGGAAAGTTGCTAGTAGTAGAAACTGTCCCCCACAGTTTTAGGTGAACTCAGGAGGCAGAGGGATATGGGGCAAAGCATCAACAGGGACAGCTAAGTGTCACATCCTCGGAGAGTCATACCTTGACTTCTTGACTCAAGTTATGTCTTCCTACTATATCTCACCTAGCATTCTCTACATACACATGCATACATAAAACAGCTGCATAAAGTTCATATAACTTACTCAAAGTAAAACTTACTTAGCAAAGCTGTAGTTAAGTATGGTCCAAGTGGGAAACTAGAATTTGAATCCGGATTTGANTGCATACATAAAACAGCTGCATAAAGTTCATATTATAACTTACTCAAAGTAAAACTTACTTAGCAAAGGAGTAGTTAAGTATGGTCCAAGTGGGAAACTAGAATTTGAATCCGGATTTGACTGATAGTGAAGGCAATGTGCTTAATTACTTACATACTTAAAACAAAGTGATAAGAAAAGTCACACTTAAAGGCAAGTTTTTGAAAATTATTATTAGCCTTCTTTAAAACACACACAAACACAAAAAACCAAAAAATACTAAAACATAAACAAAAACAAACTACTAGAAGTTCATGAAGTGCTTTGAAGCTAAATGATTATACAGTCAANAAAAACCAAAAAATACTAAAACATAAACAAAAACAAACACTACTAGAAGTTCATGAAGTGCTTTGAAGCTAAATGATTATACAGTCAACATAATTACATTCGGATAATTGGATGATGACTCTGTCTTAGTATGGCATATAAAACAGGCATTGAGGTAGCTGAAGGAAATTTTATTCATTCATTCATGTAGTCAACAATCAATTATTCAACACCTTAAACATACCAGGCACTAAATCAGGGACTAAAGAAAAAACAGTAAATAAGTTCCATCGAGTTCCCTCCTTCAAGAAGTTCATGAAGTGGTACAGGACAGGATCACAGAAGGATAAACGACAGGAACAGGCAGGGGCAGAGTAAGAACCAGGAGGGGACACCTAACCTAGAGGAGATGGCACTGAGACTGACTCTTTAAAAGGAACTACAGAAGTCAGCTAGCTGAGACCCAAAGGTATGGGAGCAGGAAGGATGGGTCAAAATATATGTAGAAAGTAAAACTGGAAGGACATTGTGATTAATTGGACACAGGGTTGGGACTGAAGGAGGGCAGTGGAGAATAAAGGACAGGCTTCTAGATGAGTGACTAGTGCACCTCACTGATACCAATTGAGATGGCGAATACAGGGGCAAGAGTTACTTTGGCTAAGGTCTGAGAAGATCTGCTGTGTTACTCATTAGTTAGGGTTCCCTTAACTACATAATAAAAATAAAAATGACCCTAAATTATATATGCACCACAAGGCTCTTCTGCAACCAAAAAGACTAATAGAATCCTGGACATTGTCACAAAAAAGCCATTATAAATAAAGAGATATAAAATATTGAGACTATGGTGTAATTATTATACCTTGAACATGATCTTATATTGGATCTCATCCTTTAGGAAATACCTAATGTGAAAGGGAAAAGCATTCAGGAAAATTGTCATGTGAAGATACAATAAATTAATTAAGAAACTGGGCAAAATACCAAATAAAAGTTCAGAAGTGAAATTTTCAAGAGCATGAGTGACCTAAACACAATCAACTGAATTTACTACTTCCTTACGCTCTGTGGAAAGGAGTAGAGGTATGACAGCTTTTAGACAAGCAAAAAAGTATCCATATAAGTATTCTTATATGGAGAAAGATAAATTTATGAAACACCCTTTGAAGTGTTTGGCGAAGTAGATTCATAGATTGTAGGTGGTCTGGTGTAAATGTATGGCAAGTACAGCCAATAAATGACTGTGACCCTGAAGCCCACATCATCCTCTCCCCACAACATGCCCCAGGAAATTATAATTAGCAGACATTAGGTCCTGTCGAGAATGTCCGTGGAGATATTTGGTCCATGCCAAGAGGTTCTTGATATTTGATCCTGTCCAAGATGTCCAAGCTTAG